AAATTCTTATACACATTTACAACAACCTTTTTACCTTCCTATTCCAAGTTCTAGTCCGAATTGTATACTATCTAGCCCTGAATAATTTTTCGAATGCAAAGCAAANATAGTGAAAAGTAAAGAAACAGTAACACTTTTCTTTGCATTTACAATATGTTCCCTGTCACTNTTTTTGACACGTAAATTACTTCCAGGTCTTGGTAACGAATTACGATCAAGAAAAGACANCAAATTATACATATAATCGTAGTTTGTACAGCAAGGTAAAAGTTCAAAGAAATCTTCTTCTCTTCCTTGTGTCTGGTATATGTTGAAAATATTTCGCCATAAAGCAGATGTATGATAAGAGACCGTTTCTAACATTACTCCTTGGCAATATATCCATTTTTGCCATTTTGACAAAAGTCTGCTGGTAAACAAACATTCTTTTACTTAAACATATATAACATTTATAAAATACGTTACTCTCTCTCTTATGCAACTACTTATAAACTAATTTACTAATACTATTCTATAGACGTTTTTTTAATCGTACAAATATAATAAATCACATGTCAAAGACACAAGAACAGAAAATATAAGTCCAATAGCAAGATGACGTCTTTGTAACATTAACGGACAGTACCTTGCTATTGAGAAAGTAGAATAACGTACTTGTTTTGTGCAGGATTTTTAAAATGCCATTCTAATATTCCATTAACATGTTCTTTGCATGTTAAATCACCGAGAATGCATGTCCATTTTAAAACTTCATGATAGAATTGATTATTGACACTATTTTCCGGAAACTGTGTATATGATATATTATCAAGAAACCTATTCACTATTACCAGAAGTTTATCCTATAAAAGCAAAATATGGTTTATTGTAACATAGTGTAAATGCCTAAAATTCCTCGATCTTTAAGTATTTAACTTTAAGTAAATTTAATTATAATTTAATTGTTTCTAAATTATATGTATATTGGGAAAGATTAAAAATTATTCATTCTTTCATTTACTATTTATATCTATTGCTTGTACTTATTTTTTAATACATTTTTTTACTCACAAATATCAACTACTATTTGTTGTTTTACATAGCACACGAATATTATATTTTCTATGATGAGAAAACAACAAATATTCTAGTCTCATGTAAACAATCCATTTTTTTATACATTTATAAGCATATAGTTATAACTTAAGTAATTATAGAGTTCTCCTTGTAAGTTATTTCGGTAAACAAAAAGTAGACTGTGCACTAAGGATAAATATTGCAACCAAATGTTAGAAAATCTATTATTTGAAGAAATTTTTAAATCATTAAGTTTAGTTTTTTGCGATAGTTTAACACTTAAAAACAGGTTTTGTGTAAGTATCTTTTTCTTACAGAATTCTACTTATTTTTGCGTTTTATATTGTAGCTTTATATACTGTTCTATTGATTGGACATATTTCTACCTAAGAATAACGTGTTACAAAAAAAAACTTTTGCCATCTACTAAACACAATTTCCATTTATGCATTTTATCAGATAAATGGTTTACGAGAACAAACGTTGACACCGACATTAAAACAATGTTTTTTTGATTCCTGGCATATTACTATATAACATTGATATTATTTCACTTTTGTAAATTTCTTTTACAGGAAGTGTGAGTAGTATATAGCACTTTTATATGTAGTATTTTTCAAACTATAACGATATGTTTGTCAACCTTCGAGTCTCTTTTTTAAGTTTATAAAATTTTCTGCTCAGTCTACTAGATATTACAACGTTCTATCTAAATATTATTATAGATTTACATTCTAATATATATTATTCTAATATATATTCTTTAATTTATATATTGTTTATGGTGTCGCCTAAAAAAGCACTCTAATGCGTACTATATATATAACCGTTCCGTAATAGTATATATATATTATACGAATAACTTAAAAAACTTTTGCCAAGTTGATAATGACCTTTCAATTATTGAACTTCTCGGTATAATGTAATACTATTTACCTTGATGTTTCTGGTACCCACAGTTTCTCGGAACGGAAAAATCTTCGACATGCTTTCAAGAGCAAAAAATATAGGATACCACATTATGTGCGAATTGTTTGCATGAAATATACTGCTTGCAATTTCAAGATATATGTCTAGATCACTTTTATCTGAAGTAGAATTGTCGTTATATTCTGTACTTTGCACCAAAAAATAAAAAGCATCGTCTACTATTTGTGCTATAGAGATGTCAAGTAAATTTGCGATCTTAAAATCTCTATTTTTTAAGAAAAGAGCAAAGTGTTTCCAAGATTTACGGTCATAATTGACGCGATATCCTACAACAAATAAAGGTTTAGAAAAAAAGATAATGGGAAACATTAAGAAAGAGAAACTTGATAATTCACATGTATGTTATTACATTACCAGCAGAATCCGCGACGATGACAAACTCATTTTTATTAAAAAGCGATGAAATAATATACTTTCTGTATGGTGTTAGGAGATCATAATACATAACAGTAACTTTTGTCCCCATTATTTTTTTAACAGTCACAGGTATCCACCAATTTTGTTCGCACTGCTGTTTGTGATCAACAGTAAGACAGTCTATGACAGATATTGCTACCTGTGTATCATTGACTCGTTTTACATATAACACAGGATAACCAACTTCTGCTGTCCATACAGTTAGTATTCTTTTTATGTCTTTCGGAAAGTATGTAGACTTATTTAAGGACGCCTCAAAATTCCAGTACCATAACTTCTCAAGAATTGATAAGTCCTTATATATGTTATCTATTATTTTATCACTGACAAAAAATAACGTAATCAAAAAATATATTACTAAAGTTTGACATAAATCTCAAAAAAAGAAAATGTTTACTGATTGTTGTGATAACTTTACGAGTAGTGCAAACATCAATTAAGTAAAACCTGTCAAACATCTGTGTACTCCAATGATTGGTAAATACTTACGTGTTATAATATAAGCTTACGGTCTGTTTATACATAGAAGTATATAAGAAATCTTCTTCAAAGAAGATATGACTAAGCATATAAAAGATGGCAAATGCTACAAGAAAGTTTAAAGTGTTAAAGTTTTCGAAATTTAGAAACGAATCTATGTATAGTAAATAATATGTAATAGTAAGTAATAACAACATAAAAAACTGTTTTATTTTTTAACACACATAAAAATGTGTATCTGTAGTTTACATCACATTTTGAAAATGTTTGCCTACAATATACATGATAAAGATACCACTGACAATTTTCATACTTTTTATAGTACATTCTGGAGATATATACCACTATCTTCTGGTGCTGTTAGTTTGTGACCATTCATTAATTAAATGTACTCGAAAAATTTATTTCCCTTACCCTTTTCTCGCCACATTTTCCTAACAGTTGAATTTCGAGCTGTACAAGAGTTTACTTGAATTCCAAAATCATATGTACTAAATGCTTCTGCATAATCCAAAACGTTTCGTCGTGTCTGGACCACAATTGACTTCATTAAACTCTATCAACAGTTTTAATAATACTACTAATAAATGAATGATAAGTTGGAAAGAGCCGTTCGCTAGATGTTATGCGGGAAATATGTCTGTATATATATTAGGGCTACCGTAAAGTTCTGTACGTTTATGGAATAAAACAAAATACAAATTTTTCTTAATTTTTCAAAAATGGGTTATACAAATTGCCCTCACGCTGACAAGAAATCATTAATAATAATGACAATTATATTATGTAATAAAGTTTATTTACGGTAAGAAAAATTTGTATTTTGTTTTATTCCAAAAACGGACAGAACTTTCCGATAGACCTAATATGTGCTTGTACACATATATAATCGAATTCACGTTTTTCACGAGAGTTTTGGGGGGATATTCGGATTTCTTCATATACGAGATGCAAATTGAGCATCCTATATGATTCTTAGAATTGTAAGTACAATTCAAAAAACTCACGTGAAAAACGTAAATTCGATTATATATGTGTACACACGCACATATATATACCGACATATTTCTCGCATAACATCCAGCGAACGGCTCATAACGACTTATGATTCATTTATTAGTTTTAAGATTTCACAGAGCCTGAGATGAATCTCAGGTTTAATTGTTAGTTTTAATAATTATACGATTATATAAGTATAGTGCGTAAGTATATCTACTATAATAATGTATTAAAGTTTTCATATAAGTTGCAATAATATTTTTCATTAAGCAGATAAAACAAATAAACAAAATTAGTAATAACACAATAATCAAGAAAATATATATGTACATTATTTCCTACACCTTCACATAATCATATGTTTATATGCTTTTTTAATATATTAAACTGCGTATATCTTCACTATAAGTAAAACAATTATAAATAGTACTAGTGTACAAAACCTGTCTCAAACTATTAGTGTCCGACCGAAGGTTCGGTTTTGGTTTCGGTTTCGGCCAGTTTCGGCACATAATTGGAGTTTCGTTTTAGTTTCGGTTTTGGCAGCGAACCGGCCGAAACTACTACTAAAACCGAAACTTCTTTCGTGTTCGTGAGTTGTCGACTTGTCGCGCTAAATAATAACCAATGGTTAGATAGAAGTTATTTCGTTTTTTAGATAAAAGAAAAAGTTTGTTTTTGTTTTCTTAATCTTAAGTACATAGTTTTTTTTTAACTATTTTTTGTTGGCAACTTCATAATTATTATTATGATAATGCGTAATTATATGCCTTTGAATTAATAATAGGTACTTGACATGTTGATATTTTTTGTTACAAACTCAAGTTTTAATTTATTTTTATAACTAAAACTTTGACTGTCAAAGAGACTGTAATAATAATTGTGTGATATTAGTACAGTACTGATATTGATAATAAAAACTGCATTAATCAATGATTTTCTTTCTGTGTGAATTACACACCTCACCTCACATACAGAAGAACGATTGTGGTACTTTTTTTTGTTGATTGTTTAAGAGCAATAAAGTTATTTGTATATCGAATAAGGGCTTTTTTAAACACATACGCAACTGCAGCTAGCTAAACTTTACAGAAACAGGCTCAAACTAAAAAACTGTAATAAGGAATCACCATAAAGGGAAGTTTCGGTTTTGGTTTCGGTTTCGGCCGAAACTGAGACAGAAACCGAAATTCGGTTTCGGTTTCGGTTTCGGTTGTAAAAACTAGTTTCGGTCGGACACTACAAACTATGTCTGAAAATATGACATTTTTTTAATTAAAATAAATATATACTACATTTTTTTACTTATCACATTTATATTTATGCACAACTATCTACAATAAAAGTGCACAATATTAACCTTGTCCCAAATATAAACTCCATATACTGTTGAAAATCCTTCGATAAACCAAGAATCCGACTGTTTAAATGGAGCTACCCACTGACTGAACATCTCTTGAATTACATTTCGTGATATGAAACATGTTACTTGTCTTTGCTTAACAATTGAATGTACTTCCCTGTTGTATATACTGTTACCTTCACTGAAAATAAAAATATTTCACACTGCAAGTACATTCTTCTCATACTGTTACAAAGTTATTTAGAATTTCAAAATTGTATCGTGAGTTATGCATCCTACCTCAAAAAAACAAATCCAGGAGTTATCATACTTTCGTAACGAGTAGAGGTTAAAGGCAGAAGCACGTAAGAAACATGCGACCGTGGAAAGATAATGTTCCACATATTTCTGAGACTTATGAAGATATTTAGAAGTACAGTTCGTGCATAGTATGTGTCATTTCTCTTTTTAAAGCTGCTTGTAATGGTAATGTTAATCCCTGATGTCATAGTTGTGTTATATACTTTCGGTATCACAACAAATGCAATAAAATGTGTGGATATCAGAGGTGTGGTAAAAAATGTTGTACGGAACGCATTTATTACCGGACCCCAATATTCAGTAGGCATGTTCGAAAGAGCTGTATCACTGTGTTTGTGTATAATTTGAATGGCAAATCTAGCTTTGGTTGCTGGATGTTCCCAATATGGAAAAATCCATTCATTTGGAATACGCGATAAAATCAGAAATCTATATAATAAACAGATAATATTACAGTAATACATAACTACAGTATATACTAAATATATTACGTTACATAAAGTGTTGATTTAATAGTGAGAACCATTCTTAATCATATTTAAAGATAACAAATGTGAACCTACTAGAATAAAAGTCTATTTGAAAAAAAAGACGAGTTTCATAAAAATATCTATTTTTTTAATGTATTATAACATGACTTTATAAAACTACTAAATATAAACGTCACTCTATAAAATAGTAGTATTATGTCATGTAACTTAAAAAACTCTATGTAGCAATATTTAAAAGGAAAAATATCTGTCAAATAATATTTTGATAATATTCTGTAGAAATAAATTTTGTTTACAATGGTCATTGTAGTATAATAAGTGCAGAAGTATAAAACAAAATAGTATGTAATATAATAGCTTTGTATGTGCACTTACTCTTTCGTTTCAATTTGACTTATGCACGGATCAACCGTAACAACTTCCGTTAAAGTACAATTATACATCGAAGTTATCACATATTTTCCAAATTTTACAGGTTTGTGCAGTTCCTTATGTATAAATTTTGCGTCTTTAGGGATTCTCTTTATGTTTATGGGAGTAATACTCACACTTTTGAATCGATTTTTAGTAGTATTTGACTGTGATTCGGTGACTTCCCAATGTGATATATGATCATACAAAATTTCAGTATCAACATACACATTTTGTATATAACAATACCGTCCGATTTGTAATCGTATGTCTTTTTGTTCACATGACACGTTTAGCACAACCGTAGAATTAATGGTAAGAGAAGTGTTTTGTTTTTCTAAAGAAATAGTATAATATAACGGTTGTATACACTGCGATGTCCGAGATAAATTCTCGTCAGTCGAAGAAGCAACTCCAGTGACAAATATTAAGCTTATTGCTCCGAAGAATATAAGCATCTGCGTAATGCGTATCTACAAAATTATTTTGCTTGTTAAACAAGAAATACAGATACACATTAAAACAAAACTCTTACGCACACATTTCTTATAAAACAAGAGTACTTTGCAGTATCAGAAAAAAAACAGCATTTATAACTGTGTACTAGAAAGAGGTAGAATATAAATATGTTTATATTTAGAATCTCTTACTTCTATCACACATACACATCACAATATTTGTCACAATTGTGTTGTTCCAATCCGACATACAAAAGGACGATTTGGAAAATTTGGAACGTATACGGAACAAAAATATAAAGATTAATTGTATACTACACATTTTTCACAAAATTGATTTGAATTTGATATTACTTCAACAAACAAAATGAAGAAACTGTGATTGAGAAAACGGTTTACTGTAGATTTAGCGTGATTTAAATTATAAACTGTGTATTATATACCAAACAAACAATTTTTAAGAAATCGTACGAATATTGTATGTAGTATTCATTTCAAAGATAATAAAGCGTAATAGTTTACTGCTTGTTTCCATGCTTCTATATCACCTAAACATCATAATGCGCTTGTGAGATATTATTAAATCTATGATTTTTTATATTTAACTGTCGGATATTCACATACGATTAGAGACACAGAAAGAAATAATATTTTCTAACAGTTGCAATTTTCCAAATACCGATATAAAAAGAAAAAACTTACCATCTTTTGTATAGTAAAATCCACTGTATTAAAACAGAAATCTCGTATGAATATTATTGCGAACTACTAGTACACAAACGCGAAAATATAACATTTGCGCGATCTTCACTCTTCGAGAAATCCTAGAAAACTAAGAAACGATCGTTCTTGTGGAATAATATATCTACATGTCACGATGTAAACATGTGTGTTGAGAAAATTGACCTTATTTTGTTCTCTTCTACCTACATATATAATGATAGAAATAACGTTTTAAATGTATTTTACGGTTTTAACGTACAAGTTCATATTAAAATATACTTTAACATATACAGAACTTGTTTAATTTCATCCTAACTGCAAGAAAAAACAGACCAGTGAGAAAAAGTTCACAGATGATCGTGTGTAAAAATTTGTTTTCTTTAGTGTGATTGGATTACAAACTGTTTCGTCCGAAAACTTCGGTCTTTATCGATTGTTTAAAGTGAGTACATTAACAAATTAATGAGTCTCAATCAAGTGTATTACATAATTATACAAGGAATTATTTACAATAACGGTCAAAGTTTTGTGTGTTTAAAACAGAAATGTTTTCTGTTTGGAACACAGAAATTTGACACCGATTGATGACGGCAAGTTCACTGCGAGCGTGTAGCCTCGGATAGCTCTTTCACGACATATATGTTTTCTTTCTCTCTATTATTTCGTCGATGTGCTCTTGAATTTACGATTCAATAGAACACATTTCAATTGTAAACAATCAAACGCAATCGTAACTTTGTGATCAAGTACATGGAACTGAGTGCGAGCGCTAAATACCTGGTTTATATTGCGTATATTTGGTTTGACACGTCCCGAAGCAAAATGAAAAATTTGTTATTTCCAACAGAACCTATGTTGCAAAACATTTTCATTTGTTTCCTATTGAATTTTGCGACGGATGAAAGTAAAGTTTATCTGAGAGTGGTGACTCCAATGGTTTGTCCAAAAACTATTCGAATATCGCAAAAATTCGATCGCTGCCTATCGAAAAGCACTTGTTCCACGATTTGACTCTCAGAAAGCTATAAAAAGATCACTTAGAAGAACAAACAAGGTGCAAGGGAAATCAAAACGAATGATAGTACATTACTTGTTTACAATACAACCTATTAGAACGCAAGTAACGGTACAATATCCGCGTGCTATCGAAAATTCGTTTATTCATCGAACGAATTTCTCGTACTTGCGAGCAACAAGTCACGTGAATTTAGAAATTATGTGACTGCTTTGAATAGGCGGAATAATATTTGCGAACGGCTGAGTGCGATTACCTGTTGACAGTCAGTTGATAAGAAGTCGCGTGTCTCAAAATAGTGAATTCTAAATTATGCAACACACCTGTCTTTTGTGCAAACATATCGTCTTTTATAGAAAATATAAATTTTGTACGGTATTTCTCGAAAGGCTTACCTTTTTTCCATTAAAACCGGATAACGAAACTATCCACTCACACACACACACACACAGTTATCACTTGATTTAACTAGTCCTAACATATGGCACGCGATCATTTCTGAATTACATATGCATTTTTTTGTACTCGTTTTATTTAGGCAAAGTTTTTTTCAAGACAAGTCTGGCAGAAATATTAAAGTATAAAAAAGAAGCAAAGTGGACAGGTTGACCTAAGAAAAAGAGCTTTGTGCAAAGAACAACACAGGCAATGCTACATCAAATATGCTAACAAATTGATTGAAAAAAAAATATATCTTCGGTTTACATTGTTAATGTTTAGTATTTGTACAGTAAACATAAAGTCTCTTCAGGTGTTAAGTACTTTTATCTGTTGCTTATGCGTAAACAAAATCGCTCTTATCGTATACCTTTGATTCGATAGTGTAACTTTGTTTTATGAATACTCAATCTTTCAAATGTGACATAATCATAAAAGCTGTAGAACATTCTTTTGCATACTGCATAACACCTAAGTATATCCACCACTCAGCACTTTTCAGACTAAAAGATAAAGAAACAAAAAACCAAACGTAACAATACTTTTTTTAAAATATTTTATTCTGAATCGATTAAGACCAAAACGAAATTGATCGGTTCAGTCGTTACTTAGATATTGCCTTGAAAAAATCTCCCTACTTCTATTTTGCATGAATCTCGCGTATAATAGGCACGGTGTGCTCGCGAAGTTCGAGCGCAACTTCGTTGCGCGTGAAACTTGGCGCGAGGCACTACCGTGCCTCTTGATAAGAGTGGAAACCTTTGAGTGATTCTTTTTTGTTTATGCGTTATGCTAAAATCCGTTTTGTGGCTCGAAGAAAGTACAATAAAAGAGTCATTTTCTGGCCTTTTTTTTGATAAACTTTGCATACATAAGGGACCTACTCAGAGGAACATAATCACATCTTTGCTTCTACTTGATACTTATATGAAGTAAATCGGCAGAACGCAAACGCAATGGGAGACGCAAATGCATGATATATGTGTTCACACGTAAATTTATTGAAACTAATTGCATAGTCAAATCAATTAAGGAAACATTAAAAGTAATACAAAACATCTAGTGCAAATAACATTTTTATTTTATCTTCTTTAATAACTATCTTCTTTTAGAACAAACATAATAGATTATAACTTATCACATAACAGTTTGTACATACTACTTATTACTTAACTTTATATTTATATTTCCATAACAGTGAACGATATTACATAATATAAACTTTTCTGTTACTGTCATTGATGTCTATACTTAGATACTGTGCGTTTAGGTAACAATGTGTATATTCATATATTTATGTGTGCTGTACATAAATATACATATACATAGTCAATGGCGTGTATATAAGTATTACATCTTACTGACAAAACGTATTCATTTTATGAGTACCTCCTTATTACATATTAAAATCCAAAAAATGTATTTCCGATTTTAATTATAATCAGCAAGTTTTGTTATAATAAATTTTAACTTAGTTAAACAAAAGAAACTTACAAATGACGATACATTAGCCTGATAAATTCCTTTAACTAAAATCGGTTGTTTACGTGCTACAAACACTAAACAGAAACTTTATAGTTTCATGTGTTTGTAATTAAAAACATACTGGGGTCTATAACGGATTATAGTTTGCATTTTACTCAAGAAATTACGACGATATTCAACTTTTTCTTTAATGGCATCGAGAACATATGGATCCTAAAACAGATTACAAAATGTATTTCTTACAAAATTTTATACACTTGTGCATAACCTTGCTTAAGACAACCCACGAACTACACTTTTACTTAAAAAAATACAAAATTATTAGTTTATATATATACATTAAGCTATATCTGAAAAAAAACAGAACAAATGTAACGCCCAATTCCAAAAAAATATTAAATATAATATTTTATGTAATATGTCTTCAATTTTAATGTTTTAAATTAGAATAATACTTTATATAATTTATAAATACATTTACCATGTAATGTGTATCCGACAGTTTATTTAAAAACACTTCGTTAGTAATCTGAAAAAATCATGTGCTTTTATCACGTAGTGTGATTTACTTACATTGTGTAAGAACATTCATTTCTTATATGTTTCTTATATCACAAGAATTACGAATATAAAATCCACAACAGACACATTTTTAGCCGTATAAATACATACGTATATCTACATATATATAATATAAACAAATTTTGTTTTATATATTTATCTACAAGAAATAAGTAAGATCATATATCATACCATCGACAGGTCGTCATCGGAGTATATGTTATTAATAATACAACTTATTATTGCTAGTATGTTTACGTCTCTATCAAAACAAAATAAAAGATNTACAATTAATAAACTTACTAATACATTATATATAAGAATGTGAAACAACAATGTTTGATCCAAAACATAACAGATAATGTAAAAAATATACACATTATGTAAAGTAACTATTAGTATGAAATATATTGTATAACAATTTACATGAATTGTTTTACTGTACTAAATTCTTATACACATTTACAACAACCTTTTTACCTTCCTATTCCAAGTTCTAGTCCGAATTGTATACTATCTAGCCCTGAATAATTTTTCGAATGCAAAGCAAACATAGTGAAAAGTAAAGAAACAGTAACACTTTTCTTTGCATTTACAATATGTTCCCTGTCACTATTTTTGACACGTAAATTACTTCCAGGTCTTGGTAACGAATTACGATCAAGAAAAGACAGCAAATTATACATATAATCGTATTTTGTACAGCAAGGTAAAAGTTCAAAGAAATCTTCTTCTCTTCCTTGTGTCTGGTATATGTTGAAAATATTTCGCCATAAAGCAGATGTATGATAAGAGACCGTTTCTAACATTAATCCTTGGCAATATATCCATTTCTGCCATTTTGACAAAAGTCTGCTGGTAAACAAACATCCTTTTACTTAAACATATATAACATTTATAAAATAAGTTACTTATGCAACTACTTATAAACTAATTTATTAATACTATTCTATAGACGTTTTTTTTAATCGTACAAATATAATAAATCACATGTCAGAGACACAAGAACAGAAAATATAAGTCCAATAGCAAGATGACGTCTTTGTAACATTAACGGACAGTACCTTGCTATTGAGAAAGTAGAATAACGTACTTGTTTTGTGCAGGATTTTTAAAATGCCATTCTAATATTCCATTAACATGTTCTTTGCATGTTAAATCACCGAGAATGCATGTCCATTTTAAAACTTCATGATAGAATTGATTATTGACACTATTTTCCGGAAACTGTGTATATGATATATTATCAAGAAACCTATTCACTATTACCAGAAGTTTATCCTATAAAAGCAAAATATGGTTTATTGTAACATAGTGTAAATGCCTAAAATTCCTCGATCTTTAAGTATTTAACTTTAAGTAAATTTAATTATAATTTAATTGTGTCTAAATTAAATGTATATTGAGAAAGATTAAAAATTATTCATTCTTTTATTTACTATTTTATATCTATTGCTTATACTTATTTTTTACTACTTTTTTTACTCACAATTATCAACTACTATTTGTTGTTTTACATAGCACATTCTAATATACTATACTAGATATTACTACGTTCTTTTTATATAAATTTTGTTATTTATTTTTATTCTAATATATATTCTTAAATTTATATATTGTTTATGGTGTCGCCTAAAAAAGCACTCTAATGCTTACCATATATATAATCGTTCCGTAATATATATTATACAAATAACTTAAAAAACATTTGCCATCAAGTTGATAATAACCTTTCAATTATTGAACTTCTTAGTGTACTGTATTCTTATTTACCTTGATATTTCTGGAAAGAACACTTTCTCGAAAAGGAAAAATCTTCGACATGTTTTCAAGAGCAAAAAATATTGGATACCACATTATGTAGGAATTGTTTGCATGAAATATACTGCTTGCAATTTCAAGATATATATCTAAATCACTAGTATCTGAAGTGGAATTGTCGTTATATTCTGTATTTTGCACCAGAAAATAAAAAGCATCGTCTACTATTTGTGCTATAAAAACGTCATGTACATTTGCGATATTAAAATCTCCATTTTTTAAGAAAAGAGCAATGTGCTTCCAAGATTTACGGTCATAATTGACGCGATATCCTACAACAAATAAAGCTTTAAAAAAAGGGATAGTGAAAAACAAAATAAAACAAACAATTACTCTACAAAAATAATGAATACTTGTAATACACTATATGTATAATAAAGAGAAACTTGATACATCACATGTATGTTATTACATTACCAGTGGAATCCGCAACAATGACAAACTCATTTTTTCTAAAAAGCAATACACGAATATATTTTCTGTATGGTGTTAGGATATCATTATACGTGACAGTATTTGCTGTCTGTGGAATTTTTTTAACAGTCACAGGTATCCACCAATTTAGTTCGCACTGCTGTTTGTGATCAACAGTAAAACAGTCTATGACAGATATTGCTACCTGTGTATCATTGACTCGTTTTACATATAACACAGGATAACCAACTTCTGCTGTCCATACAGTTAGTATTCTTTTTATGTCTTTCGGAAAGTACGTAAACTTATTTAAGGACGACTCAAAATTCCAGTACCATAACTTCTCGAGAATTGATAAGTCCTTATATATGTTATCAGATATTTTGGAACTGACAAAAAATAACGTAATCAAAAATTATATTACTAAAGTTTGACATAAAATTTAAAAAAAGAAAATGTTTAATGATTGTTGTGATAACTTTACGAGTAGTGCGAACATCGTTTAAGTAAAAACTGTCAAACATCTGTGTACTCCAATGATAGGTAAATACTTACGTGTTATAATATAAGCTTACGGTCTGTTTATACATAGAAGTATATAAGAAATCTTCTTCAAAGAAGATATGACTAAGCATATAAAAGATGCCAAATGCTACAAAAAAGTTTAAAGTGTTAAAGTTTTCGAAATTTAGAAACGAATCTATGTATAGTAAATAATATGTAGTAGTAAGTAATAACTACATAAAAAACTGTTATATTTTTTAACACACATAAAAATGTGTATCTGTAGTTTACATCACATTTTGAAAATGTTTGTTTACAATATACATGATACAGATACCACTGACAATTTTCATACTTTTTATAGTACATTCTGGAGATATATACCACTATCTCATGGTGCTGTTAGTTTGCGAGTAATTAAATGTACTCGAAAAATTTATTTCTCTTACCCTTTTCTCGCCACATTTTACTAACAGTTGAATTTCGAGCTGTACAAGAGTTTTCTTGAATTCCAAACTCATATATACTAAATGCTTCTGCATAATCCAAAACGTTTCGTCGTGTCTGGACCACAATTGACTTCATTAAATTCTATCAACAGTTTTAATAATTATACGATTATATACTTATAGTGCGTAAGTATCTACTATAATAATGTATTAAAGTGTTCATATACATCGCAATGATATTATTCACTAAACAATAAAACAAATAAACAAAATTAGTAATAACACATTAATTAAAAAAATATATATGTACATTATTTCCTACATATTCACATAATCATATGTGTTTATATGTTTTTTTAATATATTAAACTGCGTATATCTTCAAAGAAGTAAAACAACTATAAATAGTACTACTGTTACAGAAACTGTCTCAAACTATGTCTAAGAATATGACACTTTTTTAATTAAAAGAAATATATAATACTTTTTTTTACTTATCACATTTATATTTATGCACAACTATCTACAATAAAACTGCACAATATTAACCTTGTCCCAAATATAAACTCCATATACTGTTGAAACTCCTTCGATAAACCAAGAATCCGACTGATTAAATGTAGCTACCCACTCACTAAACATTTCTTGTATCACATTTCGTGCTATAAAACATGTTACTTCTTTTTGTTTAAGAATTGAATCTACTTTGCTGTTATATATACTGTTAACTTCACTGAAAATAAAAATTAAAATAGTATTGCTAGTATAGTCATCTCATACGGTATAAAGTTATTTATAAGTTTGTCAATTTTGTATTTGAGTTATGCATCTCACCTTAAAAAAACAAATCCAGGAGTTATCATACTTTCGTAACGATTAGAGGTTAAAGGCAGAAGCACGTAAGACACATGCGACCGCGGAATGATATTGTCCCACATCTTTCTGAGACTTATGAAGATATTTAGAAGAACAGTTTGTGCATAGTATGTGTCATTTCTCTTTTTGGAGCTGCTTCTAATGGTAACGTTAATCCCTGATGTCATAGTTGTGTTATATACTTTCGGTATAACAACAAATCCAACCAACTGTGTGGATATTAGAGGTGTGGTAAAAAATGNTGTACGGAACGCATTTATTACCGGACCCCAATATTCAGTAGGCATGTTCGAAAGAGCTGTATCACTGTGTTTGTGTATAATTTGAATGGTAAATCTAGCCTTAGTTGCTGGATGTTCCCAATATGGAAAAATCCATTCATTTGGAATACGTGATAAAATCAGAAATCTATATAATAAAAATAAAATATTATCGCAATACATAAGTACAGTATATAATAAATAGATTACGTTACATAAAGTGCTGATTTAGTAGTAAACCTTTCTTAATCATATTTAAAGAGAACAAATGTAGAGCTACTAGAATAAAAGTCTATTTAGAAAAAAAGACGAGTTTCAAAAAAATATCTATTTTTTAAATGTATTATAACATGACAATATTTAAAAGGAAAAATATCTCTCAAACAAATTATCAAAATAATATTTTATGTACAAATAAATTTTGTCTATAATTGTCATTGAAGTATAATAATTGCAGGAGTATAAAACTAATAGTATGTAATATAATAGCTTTGTATGGTGAACTTACTCTTTCGTTCCAGTTTGACTTATGTACGGGTCAACCGTGACAACTTCCTTTAAATCACAAGTGTATATCGAAGTTATCACATATTTTCCAGATTGTACAGGGTTTTTCATTTCCTCAAGTACACGCCCGTAATTACGGATTCTGTTTTTTTTTATGGGAGTAATATCCACACTTTTGAATCGATTTTTGGCAGTATTTGACTGTGATACAGTGACTTCCCAATGTGATATATAGTCATACAGAATTTCAGTTTCAACAAACAGAGTATGTATATAACAATACCGTCCGATTTGTAATCGTATGTCTTTTTGTTCACATGACACGGTTAGCACAACCGTAGAATTGATGGTAAGAAAAGTGTTTTGTTTTTCTAAAGAAATAGTATAATTTATCGGTTGTATACACTGCGATGTCCGAGATAAATTCTCGTCAGTGGAAGAAGCAACTCCAGTGACAAATATTAAGGTTATTGCTCCCAAGAATATAAGCATCTGCGTAATGCGTATCTACAAAATTATTTTGCTTGTTAAAGAAGAAATACAGATACACATTAAAACGAAACTCTTACGCAAACATTTATTATAACACAAGAGTACTTTGCAGTATCAGAAACAAAAACAGCATTTATAACTGTGTACTAGAAAGAGGAAGAATATAAATATGTTTATATCTAGAATCTCTTACTTCTATCACACATACACATCACAATATTTGTCACAATTGTGTTGTTCCAATCCGACATACAAAAGAACGATTTGGAAACTTTGGAACGTATAAGGAACAAAAATATAAAGATTAATTGTATACTACACATTTTTCACAAAATTGATTTGAATTTGATATTATTTCAACAAACAAAATGAAGAAACTGTGATAGAGAAAACGGTTTACTGTAGATTTAGCGTGATTTAAATTATAAACTGTGTAATATACACCAAACAAATACTTTTTAAGAAATCGTACGAATATTGTATGTAGTATTCATTTCAAAGATACTAAAGCGTAATAGTTTACTGCTTGCGTCCATGCTTCTATATCACCCAAACAATATAATGCGCTAGTGAGATATTATTAAATCTATGATTTTTTATTTTTAATTGACCGAGATATATATATATATATATATATTCGCATACGATTAGAGACACAGAAAGAACTAATATTTTACAACAATAGCAATTTTCCAAAAAACAATATAAAAAGAAAAAAACTTACCATCTTTTGTATAGTGAAATCCAATGCATTTAAACATAAATCTCGTATGAATATTATTGCGAACTACTAGTACACAATATCGAAAACGTATTGCGCGATCTTCACTCTTCGAGAAATCCTCGAAAACTAAGAACCCGATCGTTCCTGTCGAATAATATCGACATGTCACGATATAAACATTTCTGTTGGGAAGTACGACCTTATTTTGTTCTCTTCTACGTACATATATGATGATAAAAGTAACGGTTTTAAATGTCTTTCACGGTTTAAACGCACAAGTTAATATACTTTAACATATACAGAACTTGTTTTATTTCATTCTACGTGCAAGAAACAACAGGCCAGTGGAGAAACCTTCACAGGTGATCGTGTATAAAAATTTGGTTTTTTTGTGGTGATTGAGCTAAATAAATGTTTCGTCCGGAAAATTCGGTCTTTATTGATTGTCTAAAGCAATTACATTAACAAATTATTTAGTTCCAATCAGGTGGATTATGTAATTATACAAGTGTGTAATTACTTACAATAATGGTCGAATTTTTTTGCGTTTAAAACAGAAATGATTTAAGTGTTTAGAAGAAATGATTTAACTGACTAAGTTTAGAAATGTTTTCTGTTTTGAACACAGAAATTTGACGCCGATTGATGACGTCACGTTCACTGCGTGTAGTTTCGGATAGCTTTTTCTCAACATATATGTTTCCTTTCTCTCTATTATTTCGTCGATGTGCTCTTAAATTTAAGATTCAATAGAACACTTTTCAAATAGAGACAATCAAACGCAATCGTAACTTTGTGATCAAATACATGGAACTGATTGCGAGCGCTAAATAACTGGTTTATATTGCGTATATTAGTTTTTTACACGTCCCGACGCAAAATGAAAAAACTTGTTATTTTTAACAGAACCTATGTTGCAAAACAATTTTATTGTTTTCTTATTGAATTTTGCGACGGATGAAAGTAAAGTTTATCTAAGAGTGTTGACTCTAAAGGGTTGTCCAAAAACTATTCAAATATCGCAAAAATTCGATCGCTGCCTATCGAAAAGCACTTGTTCCACGATTTGACCCTCAGAAAGCTATAAAAAGATCACCTAGAAGAACAAACAAGGTGCAAGGAGCTATCAAAGCGAATGATGGTACATTACTTGTTTAAAATACAAAACCTATCAGAACGCGAGTAACGTTAAAATATCCGCGTGCTATCGGAGACTCGTTCGATCGGTGAGCGAATTTCTTATTCTTGCGAACATTTAAGTCGCGTGAATTTGCAAATCGTGTGACTGCTGTAAATACACGAAATAATATTTTCAAACAGCTGAGTGCGATCACCTGTTGACAAGGCCGGTGATACGAAATCACGTGAGCCATCGGCTGACTGTTGAACGAAATTTGGCTGTGACTTACAATAACTTCAGCAAAAACTGAACGAATTTCGATTCGGTATACCCCGTTGCGGGATCTTCATAAAAACTGTAGCGTCAATATATACCAAAGCAATTTCGCAACATAATTTTCGTTTTTAGAAACTTATCGTCTTTTATAGGAAATCTGTCTTCAGACGGCAATTATCGAACACTTCTTACTACTTTTCTTTTAAAACTGGATAACAAAATTATCTAAATATCACTTGATGTAACTTGTCTTAACGTATGGCGCGAAACCATTTGTGAAATAGTACAGATACATTTTGTAGTAATTGTTTTATTTACACAAAGCTTATTTTCATGTTACTTTATTCTGAGTTTTCTTTTTATTATCTCTATTATTTCTGTTTTTTTACATCGTATAAACTGTGTTGTTGTCGTGTAAACTTAACTTGTTACTACAAATTTCGTAAGCTACAGTATTTCGTTTACAACTGTCTTACTATCAAAATCTTAAAATAAAACACTGCCATTACTTCGTTTTTTTGTTAGATTGAGCTTGAGTTATATATTAAAATAAATGTAACATCTATAAGAATAGACAAATTAGGAATATGTTTTGTATCTCTATGCTATATATCAATAGTAAAATTACGCAAAACAGCACACACACACAATATACGTCTTATAATATTTCAGACAAGACTGGATGAAATGCTAGATTTTAAAACGAAAGCAAACTGTAACCTTTGAAACAAGAAAAACGGCATCGTGCAAAAAGCAAGACAGACAAAGCTACATCGATTATGCTAACACATTGATAAAAAAGTAAATTTACCTTTGTCATCGTTTTATAGTGTTATTGTTTACCTTTATGTTAAACAGAAAGTGTCTCTTGTTTTGAAATAATTTTGTCACGTGTTCATGCGTAAAAACTAATATCGCAAATATCGTGTAACTTTGCTTTGATTCTGTTACCTTCTTTTCGGAATAATCAATCTTTCTAATGTGACATATTCGTAAAGACTGAAGCACATAATTTTGCATACTTCATAACACATAAGAGTATCCACCACTCAGCACTTACCAAAGCAAGATATGAAGTAAAAAGTTCTGATTGAATTTGATTAGTTTATGCATAATCGTATTAAATCGCGCTAAATCTACAGTAAACAGTTTTCTCAATCACAGTTTCTTCATTTTGTTTGTTAAACTAATACCAAACTCAAATCAAATTTGTGAACAATGTGTAGTATACAATTAATCTTTATATTTTTGTTCCTTATACGTTGTTTTCCAAATCGTCGTTTTGTATGTCGGATTGGAACACCACATTAACGGAAAAATCCGTTGTTCACAGAAAATACAATAACAAAGTCGTTTTTTGGCCTTGATGTGTTAAATTTTGTGAACAATAAGTAACTTATTCAGAGTAACGTAATCATATTCCCGCTTCTACTTGATACTTATACGAAGAAAATCGTCAAACCGCAAAAGCAATGGGAGATACAAATACATGTATATAAATGTGTTCACACAGACACTTATTGAAATTGCATATAGCGTAAAACATTAAGAAAAAGTTAAAATAATAAAAACTTTGTAGTGCAAATAATATTTTTATTATACCTAATTTAAATAAATATCTTTTTATTGAACAAACATACTAGACTCTAACTGATCACTGAACATTTTATAAGTACTAGTGATTAATTAACATATATACTTACATACTATTAACAATATTACATAATATAAATTTTTCTTTTAATAAATTGTATATTTTTTTCTCACACATTTATATACTTAATTAATGCGAGCTTTTTTAGCGTTTGATTTGTATATTCGTATATTTACGTACGCTATACACAAATATACATATACGCATCAAAAGGCGTTTGTATAAGTATTACATTGTAATGAAACGAAACGAGATAAGTTTATGATCAACAAATTACTACACACTAAAATCCGAAAAGTGTATGTATTTTCGATTTTATTCATAATCTGCAGTTTTTGTTATCATAAACTAAAACTCATTTAAACAGAAAAAAGTGGATACAACTATGTAGTAAATTCTTTTAACCAAAATCGTTTGCTTACATGCAAAAAAACACATCATAAAACTAAAATTTATTTCCTCATATGTCTGTAAGTAAATATACACTGGGGTCTAGAACGAATTATAGTTTGCATTTCACTTAGGAAACAACGACGATTTTCAACTTTCTTTTTAATGGCATCGAGAACATACGGATCCTAAAACAGATTACAAAATGTATTTCTTACAAAATTTTATACACTTGTGCATACCTTTGCTTTCGCCAACCCCCAAACTATACTTTAATTTAAAAAAATAAAAATCTACTAGTTTACATATATACAATAAGCTATATCTGAAAACAACAGAACAAATGTAACGCAAAATTCCAAAAAAATATTAAATATAATAATATTTTATGTATAATGTCTTCAATTTTAATGCTTTAAATTAAAATAATACTTTATACAATTTATAAATACATTTACCATGTAATGTGTATCCGACAGTCTATTTAAGAAAACTTTGTTAGTAATCTGAAAAAATCATGTGCTTTTATCACTTAGTGTGATTTACTTACATTGTGTAATAACATTCACTTCTTATATGTTTCTTATATCACAAAAATTACGAATATAAAATCCACAACAGACACATTTTTAGCCGTATGAATACATACGTATATCTACATATATATAATATAAACAAATTTTGTTTTATATATTTATCTACAAGAAATAAGTAAGATCATATATCATACCATCGACAGGTCGTCATCGGAGTATATGTTGTTAATAATACAATTTATTATTGCTAGTATGTTTACGTCTCTATCAAAACAAAATAAAAGATGTACAATTAATAAACTTACTAATACAGTATATATAAGAATATGAAACAACAATGTTTGATCCGAAACATAAAAGATAATGTAAAAAATATGCACATTATGTAAAGTAATTATTAGTATGAAATATATTGCATAACAATTTACATAAACTGTTTTACTGTACTAAAATTCTTATAAACATTTACAACAACTTTTTTACCTTCCTATTCCACGTTCTAGTCCGAATTGTATACTATTTAGCCCTGAATAATTTTTCGAATGCAAAGCAAAAATAGTGAAAAGTAAAGAAACAGTAACACTTTTCTTTGCATTTACAATATGTTCCCTGTCACTGTTTTTGACACGTAAATTACTTCCAGGTTTTGGTAACGAATTACGATCAAGAAAAGACACCAAATTATACATATAATCGTATTTTTTACAGCAAGGTAAAAGTTCAAAGAAATCTTCTTCTCTTCTTTGTGTCTGGTATATGTTGAAAATATTTCGCCATAAAGCAGATGTATGATAAGAGACCGTTTCTAACATTAATCCTTGGCAATATATCCATTTCTGCCATTTTGACAAAAGTCTGCTGGTAAACAAACATTCTTTTACTTAAACATATATAACATTTATAAAATAAGTTACTTATGCAACTACTTATAAACTAATTTACTAATACTATTCTATAGACGTTTTTTTTACTCGTACAAATATAATAAATCACATGTCAGAGACACAAGAACAGAAAATATAAGTCCAATAGCAAGATGACGTCTTTGTAACATTAACGGATGGTACCTTGCTATTGAGAAAGTAGAATAACGTACTTGTTTCGTGCAGGATTTTTAAAATGCCATTCTAATATTCCATTAACATGTCCTTTGCATGTTAAATCACCGAGAATGCATGTCCATTTTAAAATTTCATGATAGAATTGATTATTGACACTATTTTCCGAATACTGTGTATATAATATATTATCAAGAAATCTATCCAATATTATCAGAAGCTTATCCTACTAAAGCAAAATATGATTTATTGTAACATAGTGTAAATGCCTAAGGTTCCTCGATATTTAATTATTTAACTTTAAGTAAATTTAATTATACTTTAGGTTTTTCTAAATTATATGTATATTGGTAAAAACTATTCATTTTTTCATTTACTATTTATATCTATTGCTTATACTTATTTTTTTAAACTTTTTTGTACACACAAATATCAAATACTACTTATTGTTTTACATAGCACACAAATATTATATTTTTTATGATCACAAAACAACAAATATTCTAGTCTCATGGAAACAATCCAGTTTTTTATACATTTATAAACATATAGTTATAACTTAAGAAATTACAGAGTTCTCTGTATAAGTTATTTCGATAAACAATAGGTAAACTGTGCACTAAGGATAAATGTTGCAAACAAATGGTAGAAAGTCTATTATTTGAAGACATTTTTAAATCAGTAAGTTTAGTTTTTGCGATAGTTTACTAATTAAAAACAGGTTTTATCTAAATATCACTTTCTTTACAGAATTCTACTTATGTTTGCGTTACAAAAAAAAAACTTTTGCTTTCTAATAAAGACAATTTCCATTTACGTATTTATGCATTTTATCAGATAAATGGTTTACAAGAACAAACGTTGACAACGACTGTAAAACAAAGTTTTCTTGATTCCTGGTATTACTATATAATATTGATATTATTTCACTTATGTGAATTACTTTTACAGGAAGTGTGAGTACTATATAGCACTTTTATATGTTGTACTTTCCAAACTATAACGATATGTTTGTCAAACTTCGACTCTCTTTTTTAAGTTTATAACGTTTTCTGTTCAGCCCACTAAATATTACAACGTTCTATTTACATTTTATTATATATTTACATTCTAATATATATTATTCTAATATATATTCTTTAATTTATATATTGTTTATAGTGTCGCTTACAACAGCACTCTAATGCGTACTATATATATAACCGTTCCGTAATATATATATATTATACGAATAACTCTTAAAAAACTTTTGCCATCAAATTGATAATGACCTTCCAATTATTGAATTTCTTAGTGTACTGTACTCTTATTTTACCTTGATATTTCTGGAAAGAACACTTTCTGGAAACGGAAAAATCTTCGACATGTTTTCAAGAGCAAAAAATACAGGATACCACATTAGGTAGGAATTGTGTACACGAAATATATTGCTTGCAATTTCAAGATATATATCTAGATCACTATTATCTGAAGTAGAATTGTCGTTATATTCTGTATTTTGCACCAAAAAATAAAAAGCATCGTCTAATATTTGTGCTACAGTGACGTCAGATAAATCAGTGATCTTCACATCAACATTTTTTAAGAAAAAAGCAATGTGTGTCCAAGATTCACGGTCATAGTTGACACGATATCCTACAATAAATAAAAGCTTAGAGAAAATAATAAAGAGAAACAGAGTAAAAAAAACAGGTGTTCTACAAAAATACTGAAAAATTTTAATAAACTACATGTATAATAAAGAGAAACTTAAAAATTCATATGTATGTTAGTACATTACCAGTGGAGTCCGCGACAATGACAACCTCAGTTTTATTACTCAGCCATGAAATATATTTTTTGTACGGTGTTAGGATATCAGTATACGTGACAGTACTTTTTGTTTGTAGTATTTTTTTAACAGTCACAGGTATCCACCAATTTAGCGCGCACTGTTTTTTGTGATCAACGGTAAAACAGTCTATGACAGATATTGCTACCTGTGTATCATTGTGTCGGTTTACTTGTAACACAGGATAACCAAATTGTGTTGTCCATGAAGTTATTATTTTTTTTATCTCTGTCGTAAAGTAGACAGACTTATATAAGAAAGACGTTTCATACTTTCCGTACCATAATTTATCAAAAAGTGACTGTCCATTTTGTACCATATCTGATGTAGTATTACTGACAACAAACATCGTAATTCAAAATATAACGGTACTGTTTTAAAAAAATCTCAGAAAACAATATTTAATGATTGTTGTGACGACTTCACAAGTAGTTCGATAATCGTTTAAATATAAAATGTCGCACTACTTTGCATTTCAATGATTGGAAAATACTTACATGTTATAATATAAGGTTACGGCCTGTTTAAACATAGAAGTATATAAGAAATCTTCTTCACCTAAGATATGACTAAGCATATAAAACATGCCGAATGCTACAAGAAAGTTTAAAGTGAAAGTTAAAACTACATAAAATACTGTTATATTTTTTACCACACTTAAAAATGTGTAACTGTACTTTATATCACATTTTGAAAATGTTTGCCTACGATATACATGATTGAGATACCACTGACAATTTTTATACTTTTTATAGTACATTCTAGAGATATATACCACTATCTCATAGTGCTGTTATTTTGTGACCATTCATTAATTAAATGTACTCAACAAATTTATTTCCCTTACCCTTTTCTCGCCACATTTTCCTATCAGTTGAATTTCGAGCTGTACAAGATTTTTCTTGATTTCCAAAATCATATGTACTAAATGCTTCTGCATAATCCAAAACGTTTCGTCGTGTCTGGACCACAATTGACTTCATTAAACTCTATCAACAGTTTCAATATTTATACGATTATATAAGTATAGTGCGTTAGTATCTACCATAATAATGTATTAAAGTTTTCATATAAATCGCAATGATATCTTTCAATAACCAGACAAGTAAAGAAAATTAATAATATCACAATAATCAAAAAAATATATATGTACATTATTTCCTACACATTCACATAATCATGTTTATACGCTTTTCTAATATATTAAACTGCGCAAATCATCAATAGAAGTAAAACGATTATAAATACTACTATTGTTACAGAAACTGTCTCAACCTATGTCTGAAAAAAAATATGACACTTTTTAGTTCAAAAAAAATATATAATACTTTTTTTTAATTATCATATTTATATTTATGCACAACGATCTACAATAAAACTGCACAATATTAACCTTGTCCCAAATATAAACTCCATATACTGTTGAAAATCCTTCGATAAACCAAAAATCCGATTGATTAAATGTAGCTACCCACTCACTGAACATTTCTTGTATCACATTTCGTGCTATGAAACATGTTACTTCTTTTTGTTTAATAATTGAATCTACTTCGCTGTTATATATACTGTTAACTTCACTGTAAATAAAAATAAAAATAGTATTGCTGGTGTAGTCGTCTCGTACGTTATAAAGTTCTTTATAAATTTAATTTTGTATCGTGAGTTATGCATCTTACCTCAAAAAAACAAATCCAGGAGCTATCATACTTTCGTACCGATTAGAGGTTAAAGGCAGTAGCACGTAATTAACATGCGACCGTGGTATAATATAGTCCCACATGTTTCTGAGACTTCTGAAGATATTAATAAGAAAAGTTCGTGCATAGTATGTGTCATTTCTCATTTCTAAGCTGCTTGTAATGGTAACGTCATTTCCTGATATCGCAGTTGTGTTATATACATTCGGTATAACAACAAATGCAACCAAATGCGTAGATATTAGAGGTGTGGTGAAAAATGTTGTTTGGAACGCAGGTATTTCCGGACCCCAATAGTCATAAGGCATGTTCGAAAGAGCTGTATCACTGTATTTGTGTATAATTTGAATGGTAAATCTAGCCTTGGTTGCTGGATGTTCCCAATATGGAAAAATCCATTCATTTGGAATACGTGATAAAATCAGAAATCTATATAATAAAAAGAAAATATCGTGATACATAAGTACAATATATAATAAATATTTTACGTTACATAAAGTGCTGATTTAGTAGTAAACCTTTCTTAATCATAGTTAAAGAGAACAAATGTAGAGCTACTAGAATAAAAGTCTATTTATAGAAAAAAAACGAGTTTCATAAAAATATCTATTATGTCATGTAACTTAAAAAACTGTATGTAGCAATATTTAAAAGGAAAAATATCTATCATATAATATTTTGATAATGTTCAGTAGAAATAAATTTTGTCTATATTTGTCATTGTAGTATAATAATTGCAGAAGTATAAAACTAATAGTATGTAATATAATAATTTTGTATGTGCACTTACTCTTTCGTTCCAGTTTGACTTATGTACGGGTCAACCGTAACAACTTCCTTTAAATCACAAGTATATATCGAAGTTATCACATATTTTCCAGATTTTACAGGTTTTTCAAGTTCTTTAAGTATAAACACGTTTGGAGGAATTTTGTTTTCTTTTATGGGATTAATATCCACATTTTTGAATCGATTTTTGGTAGTAGTTACGTCTGATACAGTAACTTCCCAATGTGACATATAGTCATACAGAATTTCAGTTTCAACAAACAGAGTATGTATATAACAATGACGTCTGATTTGTAATCGTATGTCTTTTTGTTCACATGACACGTTTAGCACAACAGTAGAATTGATGATAAGAGAAGTGTTTTGTTTTTCTAAAGAAATAGTATAATTTATCGGTTGTATACACTGCGATGTCCGAGATAAATTCTCGTCAGTGGAAGAAGCATCTCCAATGACAAATATTAAGCTTATTACTCCCAAGAATATAAGCATCTGCGTAATGCGTATCTACGAAAGTATTTTGCTTGTTAAACAAGAAATACAGATACACAGTAAAACAAAACTATTACGCAAATATTTCTTATAAAACAACAGACCTTTGCAGTATCAAAAACTAAAACAGCATTTATAACTGTGTATTAGAAAGGGAGAGAATATAAATATGTTTATATCAATAATCTCTTACTTCTATCACACATACACATTACACTATGTGTCACGATTGTAATGTTCCCAATCCGACATACAAGGACGATTACGAAAACAAAGTAGAAAAAACACAAGTATAATGATTAATTGTGTACTTCACGTTCTCCAAAATTTTATATTATTGCAACAAACGAAAGTAGGCCAATGTGATAAAAAATGTTTACTCTAGGATTAAGCGCTTTTTAAATTGTAATCTGTGTATTAAAAAAGTAAACAAAAACTGTCTTAATAAATTGTTTGAATTATTTTTGTAGTATTTACTACAGTTCAAAGATAATAGAGCGTAACATTTTAATAATTGCTTTCCTTCTATGGTGCAAAACGAGTATAATACTTTTTTGAGATAATAAATCTATGACTTATGTTCTTTACTGTCCGATATTTGCATACAGTTAGAAACACACAGAAAGAAACAATGTTTTAAAACAACTGAAATTTTCCGAAAAATAATATAAAAAAATAAGGACTTACCATCTTCTATATATAATAGAATCCAATGCATTAGAACAGAAATCTCGCATGAATAATATTGTGAACTTCTAGTACATAAAATCAAAAACGTGTCCTTCGCGCGATCTTAACTCTTCGAGAAATCATCGAAAACTAAGAACCGATCGTTCTGTGGTTTACTATCTACCTGTCGCCATGTAAACATCCGAGGTGAGAAAAACGACCTTATTTTGTTTTCTTCTACGAACATACATGATGATAGAAATAACGGTTTTAAATATATTTCACGGTTTAAACGTACAACTTTATATAATAATACAATTTATTATATACAGAACTTGTTTTATTTCATCCCAAGTACAAGAAAACACAGGCCAGTGAGATAACGTTCACAGATGATCGTGTGTAAAAACTTGGTTTCTTTGGTGGGACTGAATTCCAAAATGTTTTGTCTGAAAAGGATCCGGTCTTTATCGATTGTCTAAAGCGATTAAATTAACAAAATAATGAATCCTAATCAAGTGTATTAAGTAATTATACAAGTGTGTAATTACTTACAATAATGGTCGAAGTGTTGTGTATTTAAAACAGAAATGTTTGCTTGGAACACAGAAATTTGACGCCGATTGATGACGTCACGTTCAGTGCGTGTGTGTAGTTCCGGATAGCTTTTCTCTTCAACATGTTTTCTTTCTCGATATATGTTTTCTTTCTCTCTAAAATCTTGTTGATGTGCTCTTAAAGGTAAGATTCAATAGAACACATTTCAAATGTAGACAATCAAACGCAATCGTAACTTTGTGATCAAGTACATGGAACTGATTGCGAGCGTTAAATAACTGGTTTATATTGCGTTTATTTGTTTAACCACGTCTCGAAGCAAAATGAAAACACTTGTGTTATTTCCACCAAAATTTATACTACAAAAAAATTTTATTGTTTCTTTACTGAATTTTGGGACGGCTGAAAGAAACGTCTATCTGAGAGTGTTGACTCTAAAGATTTGTCCAAAGACTACTGAAAATATCACAAAACTTTGATCGTGCTTATCGAAGAGCACTTGCTCCACGATTTGACTCTCTCTCTCTCTCTCTCTCTCTCTCTCTCTTTCACTCACTCGAAAAGCTACAGGAAGATCACTTAGAAAGACAGACGATACAAGGTGCTATCAGAGCGAATGATGCTACATTACTTGTTTAAAATACAAAATTTATCGAAACGCGATTAGCGCTAAACTATCCGTGTGCTATTGGAGACTATTTCGATCATCGAGCGAATTCTTATACTTGAAAGCAATAAGTCGCGTTAATTTGAAAATCGTGTGACTCGTTTGAATAGGCAAAATAATATTTGCAAACGGCAGCATGCGATCACCTGTTGACAAGACCGTTGATAAGAAGTCGCGTGAGCTATCGGATGACTGTATGAAATTTGCCTACGACTACAATACAGCAAATTTGAACGAAGTCTGATTCGGCATACCACTCGAGAAACTTTGTACATAAAAACTTTAGCGTCAATATATTGAACTCTTGTGATTTTGCAACACACCTGTCGTTTTTGGGACCCTATCGCTTTTTATAAGAACTCTAACGTTGGACTCCATTTCTCGTAAGTCTTACCTGTTCCATTGAAACTGGATAACAAAATTATCCACACACACAACACACATACACACAATTATCACTTGATTTACCTAGTCTTAACGTATTGCGCAAGACCCTTTCTTAAGTACATATGTATTTTGTTGTAATTGTTTTATTTAGGCAAAGTTTATTTTCATCGTACTGTATTCTGGTGTTTCTTCTTATTATCTTTATTATTTCTGATGACGGGGGTATTTGGGATCTTTCATATATGAGATGCAAATCTAGCATCCTATATGATTTTAAGAATTGAAATTTCAATTCAAAAAACTCACATGTAAAAATAATTTACATGAGAATTTCATACATGTGTATATATATATATATACATGCACGTTTATTCCTGCACAACATCCTGGGAATGGCTCGTATCGGCCTTTATTCATTCTTAGTTTGACTTAATTTCACGAGCCTTTACTATTCATTCATTTATTATTTCTGTTGTTTACATCATCGATTAAACTGTGTTGTTGTCAATTAAATTCACTTAAACCTTAATACTCAGAAATTAGTACGCTGCAGTATGTCGTTCAAAACTGTTTTACTATCAGAAACTTAAAGTAAAACACAGCGATTACACCGCCATTCTTTGGTAGATTGAGTAGCAATGTATGAGGTATATTATAAAATAACTATACTATTTATGAAAATATACAAATTAAGAAATTCGCTTTGTATATATTATACCAGTAAGATTGCGCAAATCAACACACACATACAACATACATTTTAAAATATTTCACACAAGTCTGGACGAAATGATAAATTTTAAAAGAGAAGCAAAGTGAACAGTTTGACCTAAGAAAAAGAGCTTCGTGCAAAAAACAACAAAGGCAATTCTACATCAAATATGCTATCACACTGATTGAAAAGAAAATATATCTTCGTTTTACAATTGTTAATGTTTATTTTTTGTACGTACAACATGAAGTGTTTTCCATTAAGTACTTCTGTCGGGTGCTTATGCTTATAAAAAAATCGCTCTTATCGTATAACTTTGATTCGACAGTGTTACTTTGTTTTCTGAATACTCAATCTTTCAAATGTGACATAATCGTAAAAGCTGAAGAACATACTTTTGCATACTGCATAACACATAAGTATATCCACGACTCAGCACTTTCCAGACTAAGATATAAGAGTAGAAACCATTCAGTGATTTTTTTTTGTTTATGCGTTATGCTTAACTCCGTTTTGTAACTCGAAAAAAGTACAATAAAAGTATTTTTTTGGCCTTTCTTTGAGAAACTTTGCATACATACAGAACCTACTCTAAGAAACATAATCACATCTTTGCTTCTACTTATATGAAAGAAATCGGCAGAACGCAAACGCAATGAGAGACGCAAATGCATGATATATGTGTTAACACGTAATTTTATTGAAACTAATTGCATGGTCAAAACAATTAAGGAAACGTTAAAAGTAATACAAAACATCTAGTGCAAATAACATTTTTATTTTATCTTCTTTAATAACTATCTTTTTTTAGAACAAACATAATAGATTATAACTTATCACTTAACAATTTGTAAATACTACTTATTAATTAACTTTATATTTATATTTGCATAACATTGAACGATATTACATAATAAAAACTTTTCTGTTACAGTCATTGATTTCTATACTTAGATACTGTGCGTTTAGTTAGCAATGTGTATATTCATATATTTATGTGTGCTGTACATAAATATACATATACATATTCAATGGCGTGTATATAAGTATTAAATCTTCATGACAAAACGTATTCATTTTATGAGTATCTCCTTATTACATATTAAAATCCAAAAAATGTATTTCCGATTTTAATCATAATCAGCAAGTTTTGTTATTATAAAGTAACTTATTTAAACAAAAGAAACTTACAAATGAAGATACATTTAACTGGTAAATTCTTGTAACTAAAATCGTTTGTTTACATGCAAAAAAAAACACATTCTAAAAAAAAACTTTATATTTTCATGTGTTTGTAATTAAAAACGTACTGGGGTTCAAAACGAAGTATAGTTTGCATTTCACTTAGGAAACTACGACGATTTTCCACTTTCTTTTTAATGGCATCGAGAATATATGGATCCTAAAACAGATTACAAAATGTATTTCTAATAAAATCCTATATACTTGTAAATAACATTGATTAAGACAATATACAAAATATACTGTTAATTGAAAATAATAAAAAAACTAACAGTGTACACATAAAAAAGCCTATATATATAAAAAAAAAAAAAAAATGTAACGCACAATTCCTTAAAAATAAGTAAAGTACCTTTATCAGGTATATATGAAGCAGTTTCTGTAAGAACATTTCGTTAGTGATCTGAAACAATAATGTGCTCTTATCACTTAGTGCAATTTATTTACACCGTGTAACAATATTATATATTAATATTATATATCAATATTATATATTAAAGTTTGTTTGATATATTCCAAAGAATTACGGATACAGGTCACAGCAAAATTTTATATATCTTTACCTGAGTGACAACATTCGTGTATACAATATATATACAGGGTGTCTGATAATGACCGTCTAACCGCTTGTAGGTAGGTAGAAGGGATTATTCTGAGTCGAAAAGTCCTGAACCATTTTTTTCTATTACATATGATAAAGGAGTAATTATTGAATAAAGTAAGCCAATCAGCGCCGACCTTTAGCCAAACGCACGTCAGTGAGCCGCGCAGAGCGCTCACGCACATCAGGCGCGCGGCTCGCTGACGTGCGTTCGGCTACAGGTCGGCGCTGATTGGCTTAGGCCTGGTTTATGCGAAGCAATAACTGTTAACTTATGCCGGAACCGGTAAAGTTTAACTATATGATTTTAATACTTCTGTTTATACAAAATTGCCGAAGGCGTATAAACAGAAGTATTGGAATCCTATAGTTAAACTCTACCGGTTCCGGCATAAGTTAACAGTTATTGCCCGCATAAACCAGGCCTTACTTTATTCAATAATTACTCCTTTATCATATGTAATAGAAAAAAATGGTTCAGAACTTTTCGACTCAGAATAATCCCTTCTACCTACCTACGAGCGGTTAGACGGTCATTATCAGACACCCTGTATATATATATATATATATATATATATATATAGATATAACAAATAAATTTCGTTTTACATATTTATCTACAAGAAGTAAGGAAAATCATACAACATACCATGAACAGGTCGTCGTTGGAATATATGTTGTTAATAATACAATTTATTATTGGTAGTATGTTCACGCCTCTATTAGAACAAATAACAAAAACGTACAATTAGTATGTAAAAGTACTAATAAACATTATAAAAAATTACGTGCCACAACAATGTTTGCTCCGAAAATAAAGGTAATATACAAACTATGCAGATAATGTAAAATACATATTCGTATAAAATTTTTGTATGAAAAAAATTTTCTATACATATAGATCACTCTTTTTACCTTACTATTCCAGTTTGTAGTCCAAATCGTATATTATTTAGCACGGAAGTAGTTTTCGACTGCAAAGCAAAAAGAGTGAAAAGTACAGTAACAGTAACACTTTTCTCTGCAATTATAATATTTTCAGTAGGAACTTTTTTTGTATTCAAACTACTTCCAGGTATTGATACAAAGTTATGATCAAGAAAATAGAGAAAAACATAAATGTCCTCATGTTTTCTAGAGCAAGGCAAAAATTCTAAGAATTCTTTTCCTTTTTCTTGTGTTTGATATATGTGAAAAATTTTTTGCCACAAAGCAGACTTATTATACGTGACAGTTTCTACCATTAATCCTTGACAATATAACCATTTCTTCCAACTTGGCAAAAGTCTGCAAGTAAAAACCCATATTATTTCACTTAAACATACATAACATGTGAGACCCAGATGCGCAAAGAAACAATCGAACATGGCAAGATGTGTCAATCAGACACAGTGAGAAACGGACACACGACAGACTCAATTGGACACAGTTGCAAACGGACACAAGACAATGTAACTCGGATACATTCTCCATCGGATACACTAGTATTAAATCAAGATTGTTTCTGTTTTGTATTTTTTGTTCGTGTTATAAGAATGCAGACAAAGAAGGCTGCGCCGTCTCTGTTCCCTCTGAAAAAAATGTAACCTAACCCTACCTTGTGTTTCTACAATATTAATAAGAATGAGTGAGAGTTTTGCGAGAAGGGTGCAGGAAAAAAAGGTTAGGTTAGGTTAGGTTAGGTTAGTTGGTTGGTGGTGCAAGTATGGCTCTTTGGACCGAAACTATCTAGTCCATACGCCAGTCTAAGTCAAAAGAATATATAAAAAATATTATGGCAAAAGCGCCAGTCTATGTCAGAACGCAGATACAAAGACCACTGTAGCAAAACATACGCTACCCAGCAAACATTTCGGTCACAGAACCATATCCATCTGTGTCCTCAGTAGGATATGGTTTGTTAATCATGTCTGTCAACATGTGAAATGTCAAAATGCGACCAAAATAATGACAGAGTCTGCCACAAGCAAAGCGAGGCCAAATTATCGCCAAAGTGAAGCCAAAATCCGGAATAGGTTTGGTCATTGTCTGTTGGCGCCAAATTGCAAACAATTCGCATGTATACACGAACAGACCTGCTTGGCGTTTGGTGGCAATCTGTCGTCAATGCGTTTAACAGATCAACCCGACTTTTGTCGTAAACAGATTTCTGATACAATTTTGCGGACTGTTTGGTCACAGTATGGCCAAAAGCAGATCTGCTTGCAATCGACCATCTATTTGTTGTTAATTTCACTGACATATGGAATCGTTTTGGCTGCAATACTCTCATGTATTTGTCAACAGAGTTGTTGCGTTTTTTCTTTCTGTGTGCTAACAATTTTGGCGGTGTTTCCGTATTGTAGCATTTCTGCAAACAATTTCTGTTACCAAGGTCTGCGCCGAAATTGTCAAAAACAGAAATTGTTTGCTGGGTATGCTTTGCATAAAATCTAAAAATTATGTTGTCGATTGAAGAAGACCGAGAAACGATACTTCCGTGACGACGGTTACGTTGGAACTTAGGTTAGGTTAGTTTTTGAGATCTACCATATAAATGTAGAATGTATAGACTGTGCGTTCCCTACCTTTGCCATGTTAAGAAAATGTCTTCAATGTTGAGAGAGACAGATGGTGTTGAACAGTAGCCTTATCTTTGTCTAGGGAAGTAGTGGAAAAAAAAAGAAGTCTTCGCTAATTGATAGAATAGTAGTGAAAAAGTGGGGATAGAAAAAACGTGGGTGTGAATAATAATAAAAGCGATTAAAGGGTGATGGCAGGTTATATATAGGTGGTATGAAACAGTAAGCCCTGCTCCCATCACAGACATTGATAGACAAAAAAACTTACTGTTCAAAGTATGTTGTCTCTATTACCCAGAAGACGTCTTTTCAGCCAAACGCGCAGTCTATATATTCTACGTCTATGGGGGCTACACACTTACAACACGAACAGAACAACATAAAAGACATAAAGTAAATGTATCTTAAATAAGGTCAATATGAAAAGAATAGTCTTGATTTAATATTATCCGTTTGCGACTGTGTTCGATTTGGGAATGCGTCCGATTGATACACCCTGACGTGTCCGTGTGATTCTGTGCGCATCTGGGTCCTTTCCTATATAATACTACGTACAAACTAATTCATTAAAATGCTATTAGATTTAATTTTTAAGCGTAAAAATGTAGTAAATCACATGTCAGAGACGCAAGTACAGAAATTATAAGTCCATAAGCAAGACGACGTCTTTGTAACATTAACGGACGTTACCGTGCTATTGAGAAAGTAGAATACCGTACTTGTTTTGTGCAAGATTTTTAAAATGCCATTCTAATATTCCATTAACATGTTCTTTGCATTTTAAATCACCGAGAACGCATGTCCATTTTAAAACTTCATGATAAAATTGATTATTGACACTATTTTGGGACCACTGTGTATATGATATATTATCAAGAAATCTATTCAATATTACCAAAAGTGTATCCTATAAAAGCAAAATATGTTCTTTAACATAGTGTAAATGCATAAAGTTCCTCGATATTTAATTATTTAACTTAAAGTAACTTTAATCATAATGTAATTTTTTCTAAATTATATGTATATTGGTACAGATTGATCATTCTTTCATTTACTACTTTTATCTATTACTTCTACTTATTTCTTCATATACTTCTACTTTTTTTTATGTTTATAACGTTTTCTGTTCAGCCCACTAAATATTACAACGTTCTATTTACATTTTAATATATATTTACATTTTCATATATATTATTTTAATATATATTCTTTAATTTATATATTGTTTATAGTGTTGCCTAAAAAAGCACTCTAATGCGTACTATATATATAACCGTTCCGTAATATATATATATATATATTATACGAATACCTTAAAAAACTTTTGCCATCAAAGTGATAATGACATTCCAATTATTGAACTTTACGGTAAAATGTAATACTATTTACCTTGATGTTTCTGGTAAACACAGTTTCTCGAAACGGAAATATCTTCGACATGTTTTCAAGAGCAAAACATATAGGATACCACATTATGTAGGAATTGTTTGCATGAAATATACTGCTTGCAATTTCAAGATATATGTTTAGATCACTATTATCTGAAGTAGAATTGTCGTTATATTCTGTATTTTGCACCAAAAAATAAAAAGCATCGTCTAATATTTGTGCTACAGTGACGTCAGATAAATCAGTGATCTTCAGATCAACAGTTTTTAAGAAAAAAGCAATGTGTGTCCAAGATTCACGGTCATAGTTGACACGATATCCTACAATAAATAAAAGCTTAGAAAAAGAGAAACAAAGTAAAGAAAACACGTATTCTACAAAACTAAGGAACAACTTTAATAAACTACATGTTTAATAAAGAGAAACTTAAAAATTCATATGTATGGTAGTACATTACCAGTGGAATCCGCGACAATCACAATCTCATTTTTATTACTCAGCCATGAACGAATATATGTTTTGTATGGTGTTAGGATATCACTATACGTGACAGTACTTTTTGTATGTAGTAGTTTTTTAACAGTAACAGGTATCCACCAATTTAGTTCGCACTGTTTTTTGTGATCAACGGTAAAACAGTCTCTGACAGACATTGTTACATGTGTATCATTGTGTCGGTTTATTTGTAACACCGGATAACCAAATTGTGTTATCCAAGAAGTTATTATTTTTGTACTCTCTGTCGTAAAGTAGACAGACTTATATAAGGAAGACGCTTCATACTTTCCGTACCATAATTTATCAAAAATTGACTGTTCATTATGTACCTTATCTGATGTAGTATCACTGACAACAAACATCGTAATTCAAAATATAACGGTACTGTTTTAAAAAAATCTCAGAAAACAATATTTAATAATTGTTGAGACGATTTCACAAGTAGTTCAATAATTGGTTAAGTATAAAATGTCGCACTCCTTTGTATTTCAATGATTGGAAAATACTTACATGTTATAATATAAGTTTACGGCCTGTTGAAACATAGAAGTATATAAGAAATCTTCTTCAACAAAGATATGACTAAGCATATAAAAGATGCCGAATGCTACAAGAAAGTTTAAAGTGTTAAAGTTTTCGAAATTTAGGAAGAAATCTATGTATAGTAAATAATATGTAGTAGTAAGTAATAACTACATAAAATACTATTATATTTTTTAAAACACATAAAAGTGTGTAACTGTACTTTATATCACATTTTAAAAATGTTTGCCTACACTAGACATGATAGAGATACCACTGACAATTTTCATACTTTTTATAGTACATTCTAGAGATATATACACTATATCATGATGCTGTTATTTTGTGACCATTCATTAAGTAAATGTACTCAAAAAATTTATATCCCTTACCCTTTTCTCGCCACATTTTCCTAACAGTTGAATTTAGAGCTGTAAACGATTCTTCTTGAATTCCAAAATCATATGTACTACATGCTTCTGCATAATCCAAAACGTTTCGTCGTGTCTGGACCACAATTGACTTCATTAAACTCTGTCAACAGTTTTAATAATAAAACTAATAAATGAATGATAAGTCGGTAAGAGCCGTTCGCTGGATGTTATGTGAAAAATATGTCTGTATATATATTAGGTCTACCGGAAAGTTCTGTCCGTTTTTGTAATAAAACAAAATGCAAATTTTTCTTAAATATTCAAAAATGGGATATACAAATTGCCCTCACGCTGTGACAAGAAATCATTAATGTATATAATAATGGTAATTATATTATTTAATAAAGTTTATTGACGGTAAGAAAAATTTGTATTTTGTTTTATTCCAAAAACGGACAGAACTTTCCGGTAGATTTAATATATAACATATATATAACATATTATATATAACATATTATATATAACATATTATATATAACATATTATATATAACATATATAATCGAATTCACGTTTTTCACGTGAGTTTTGGGGGATATTTCGGGGATTTCTTCATATACGAGATGCAAATTAAGCATCCTATATGATTCATAGAATTGTAATTACAATTCAAAAACCTCACGTGAAAAACGTGAATTCGATTATAGATGTGTACACACGCACATATATATACAGACATATTTCCCGCATAACATCCAGCGAACGGCTCATAACGACTTATTATTCATTTATTAGGTTTAAGATTTCACAGAGCCCGAGATGAATCTCAGTTTTAATTGTTAGTTTTAATATAATTATACGATTATATAAGTATAGTTCGTAAGTATTTACTATAATAATGTATTAAAGTTTTCATATAAATCGCAATACTATTTTTCATTAAACAGATAAAACAAATAAATAAAATTAGTAATAACACAATAATCAAGAAAATATATATGTACATTATTTCCTACACATTCACATAATCATGTTTATACGATTTTCTAATATATTAAACTGCGTAAATCTTCAATATAAGTAAAACGACTATAAATACTACTATTTTTACAGAAACTGTCTCAAACTATGTCTGAAAATATGACACGTTTTAGTTCAAAAAACATATAGAATACTTTTTTTTAATTATCATATTTATATTTATGCACAACGATCTACAATAAAACTGCACAATAGTAACCTTGTCCCAACTATAAACTCCATATACTGTTGAAAATCCTTCGATAAACCAAAAATCCGATTGATTACATGTAGCTACCCACTCACTAAACATTTCTTGTATCACATTTCGTGCTATGAAACATGTTACTTCTTTTTGTTTAATAATTGAATCTACTTCGCTGTTATATATACTGTTAACTTCACTGTAAATAAAAATAAAAATAGTATTGCTAGTATAACTTTCCTGTACGTTTTACAGTTATTTATCGTCCAATTTTGTATCGTGAGGTATGCATCTTACCTCAAAAAAACAAATCCAGGAGTTATCATACTTTCGTACCGATTAGAGGTTAAAGGCAGTAGCACGTAATAAACATGCGACCGTGGTATGATATAGTCCCACATGTTTCTGAGACTTCCGAATATATTAATAAGAAAAGTTCGTGCATAGTATGTGTCATTTCTCATTTCTAAGCTGCTTGTAATGGTAAGGTCATTTCCTGATATCGCAGTTGTGTTATATACATTCGGTATAACAACAAATGCAACCAAATGCGTAGATATTAGAGGTGTGGTGAAAAATGTTGTTTGGAACGCAGGTATTTCCGGACCCCAATAGTCATAAGGCATGTTCGAAAAAACTGTATCACTGTATTTGTGTATAATTTGAATGGTAAATCTAGCCTTGGTTGCTGGATGTTCCCAATATGGAAAAATCCATTCATTTGGAATACGCGATAAAATCAGAAATCTATATAATAAAAATACAATATTATCGCGATACATAAGTAAAGTATATAATAATTATATTACGTTACATAAAGTGCTGATTTAGTAGTAAATCTTTTTTAATCATAGTTAAGGAGAACAAATGTAGAGCTACTAGAATAAAAGTCTACTTAGAAAAAAAGACGAGATTCATAAAAATATTTATTTTTTACATGTAGTATAACATGACTTTATAAACTTAGTAAATGTAAACGTCATTCTATAAAATAGTAGTATTATGTCATGTAACTTAAAAAACTGTATGTAGCAATATTTAAAAGGAAAAATATCTGTTTAATAATATTTTGAGAATGTTCTGTAGAAATAAATTTTGTCTATAATTGTCATTGTAGTATAATAATTGCAGAAGTATAAAACTAATAGTATGTAATATAATAGCTTTGTATGTGCACTTACTCTTGCGTTTTATTTTGACTTATGTACGGGTCAACCGTGACAACTTCCGTTAAAGTACAATCATATATCGAAGTTATCACATATTTTCCAGATTTCACAGGTTGGTGCGGTTCCTTACATATAGATTTTGCGTCTTTAGAGATTTTGTTTATGGGAGTAAGATGCACAATTTTAAATCGATTTTTAGTACTAGTTGACTGTGAATCAGTGATTTCCCAATGTGATATACAATCATACAGAATTTCAGTATCAACATACACATTTTCTAAATAACAATACCGTCCGATTTGTAACCGTATGTCTTTTTGTTCACATGACACGTTTAGCACAACCGTAGAGATGACGGTAAGAAAGGTGTTTTGTTTTTTTAAAGAAATAGTATAATTTATTGGTTGTATACACTGCGATGTCCGAGATAAATTCTCGTCAGTGGAAGAAGGAACTCCAGTGACAATTATTAAGCTTATTGCTCCCAAGAATATATGCATCTGCGTAATGCGTATCTACAAAATTGTTTTGCTTGTTAAACAAGAAATACAAATACACATTAAAACGAAACTCTTACGCAAACATTTCTTATAAAACAACAGACGCTTGCACTATCAAAAACAAAAACAGCATTTATACCTATGTATTAGAAAAGGAGAGAATATAAATATGTTTATATCAAGAATCTCTTACTTCTATCAATACACATCACAATATTTGTCACAATTGTGGTGTTCCAATCCGACATACAAACTGACGATTTGGAAAACAATGTATAAGAAACAAAAATATACAGATTAATTGCATACTACACATTTTTGACAAAAGTGATTTGAATTTGATATTAGTTGAACAAACAAAAGAAACTGTGATTGAGAAAATTATTTATTGTAGATTTTGCACGATTTAAATTATAAATTGTGTATTATATCGCTTATCGATGAGGCCGAGAAGCGATTATATGCTTATACATCAAACAAAAACATTTTAAGAAATCGTATGAATATTGTATATAGTATTTATTTTAAAGATAATAAAGCATAATAGTTTTCCGCTCGCTTCCATGCTTCTATATCACCCAAAGAATATAATTCGCTTGTGAGATATTTGTAAATCTATGATTTTTTATATTTACCTGTCCGATATTCGCATACAATTAGAGACACAGAAAGATATAATATTTTACAACAATTGCAATTTTCCAAATAACAATATAAAAAGAAAAAAACTTACCATCTTTTGTATAGTGAAATCCAATGCATTAAAACATAAATCTCGTATGAATATTATTGCAAACTACTAGTACACAAAATCAAAAACCTATTGCGCGATCTTCACTCTTCGAAAAATCCTCGAAAACTAAGAACCGATCGTTCCTGTCGAATAATATCTACGTGTCACAATATAAACATCTGTGTTGGGAAATACGACCTTATTTTGTTCTCTTCTACCTACATATATGATAATATAAATAACGGTTTTAAATGTATTTTACGGTTTAAACGTACAAGTTCCTATAATAAACTATACTTTAACATATACAGAACTTGTTTTTTTTTCATCCTAAGTGCAAGAAAAAACAGGCCATTGAGAAAACGTTCAGAGGTGATCGTGTGTAAAAACTGGATTTCTTTGATTGAATTAAACAAAATTTTTTGTCCGGAAAATTCGGACTGTATCGATTGTTTAAAGCAATTACGTTAACAAATTAATGAGTCCCACTTAAGTGTATTATGTAATTATACAAGAGTGTAAATATTTACAATAATGGTCAAAGTTTTTTGTGTTTAAAACAGAAATGTTTTCTGTGTGGAACACAGAAATTTGACGCCGATTGATTACGTTACGTTCAGTACGAGCGTGTAGTTTTTAGCGGATATCCTTTCCTCAACATATATGTTTTCTCTCTCTCTATTATTTTGTCGACGCTCTTAAATCTAAGATTCACTAGAACACGTTTCAATTGTAGACAATCAAACGCAATCATAACTTTGTGATCAAGTACATGGAACTGATTGCGAGCGCTAAATACCTAGTTTATATTGCGTATATTTGTTTTGACACGTCCCGAAAAAAAATGAAAAGACTTATTATTTCCAACAGAAACTGTATTGGAAAGTAAAATTATTGTTTACTTAGTGATTTTCGCGTCGGCTAAAAGTAAAGTTTATCTGAAAGTGTTGACTCTAAAGGTTTGTCCAAAACCTATTCGAATATCGCAAAAATTCGATCACTGGCTATCGAAAAGCACTTGCTCCACGATTTGTCCTCAAAAAGCTGTAGGAAGATCACCTAGAAAAACAAACAAGATGCAAGGTGCTTTCAAAGATAGTAATGGTACATTCCTTGTTTACAATACAAAACCTATTAGAACGCGAGTAACTGTACAATATCCGCGTGCAATCACTCGTTCGATCAGTGAGCGAATTTCTCATACTTGCGAGCAATAAGTCGCGTGAATTTAAAAATCGTGTGACTGTTTTGAATAGGCAGAATAATATTTGCAAACGGCTAAGTGCAATCATCTGTTGACAATTCCGTTGATAGAAATCGCGTGAGTCAAAATAGTGAATTTTGGATTTTGCAACACACCTGTCTTTTTTAGAAACATATCGTCTTTTATAGAAAATATAACTTTGGACGGTATTTCTCGGAAGTCTTATTTTTTGTCCATTGAATCTAGATAACGAAAATATCCACACATCACACACACACACACACTCACACACACACAGAAAGAGAGAGAGAGAGAGAGAGAGAGAAAGAGAGAGAGAGAGAGAGAGAGAGAAAGAGAGAGAGAGAGAAAGAGAGAGAGAAAAAGNAGAGAGAGAGAGAGAGAGAAAGAGAGAGAGAGAGAGAGAGAGAGAAAGAGAGAGAGAGAGAAAGAGAGAGAGAAAAAGAGAGAGAGAGAGAAAGAGAGAGAGAAAGAGAAAAAGAGAGAGAAAGGGAGAGAGTTATCACTTGATTTAACTAGTCTTACCGTATGGCACGCGATCATTTCTGAATTACATATGCATTTTTTTGTAATCGTTTTATTTAGGAAAAGTTCATTTCAAGACAAGTCTGGCAGAAATAATAAATTATGGAATAGAAGCAAAGTAAACAGGTTGAACTAAGAAAAAGAGCTTTGTGCAAAGAACAACAAAGACAATGCTACATCAAATATGCTACCAAATTGATTGAAAAGGAAATATATCTTCGTTTTACGTTGTTAATGTTTATTATTTGTACATTACACATAAAATGTCTTCCGTTGTTAAGTACTTTTGTCGGTTGCTTATGCTTAAAAAAAATCGCTCTTATCGTATACCTTTGATTTGATAGTGGTACTTTGTTTTTTGAATACTCAATCTTTCAAATGTGACATAATCGTAAAAGCTGAAGAACATACTTGTGCATACTCCATAACACATAAGTATATCCACCACTCACCACTTCCCAGACCAAAATATAAGAGTGGAAACCTTTGAGTGATTCTTTTTTGTTTATGCGTTATGCTAAAATCCGTTTTGTGGCTCAAAGAAAGTACAATAAAAGAGTCATTTTTTGGCCTTTCTTTGAGAAACTTTGCATACATAAGAAACCTATTCAGAGAAACATAATCACATCTTTGCTTCTAATTGATACTTATATGAGGGAAATCGGGAGAACGCAAACGCAATGGGAGCCGCAAATGCATGATATATGTTTTCACGCGTAATTTTATTGAAACTAATTGCATAGTCAAAACAATTAAGGAAACGTTAAAAGTAATACAAAACATCTAGTGCAAATAACATTTTTATTTTAACTTCTTTAATAACTATCTTTTTTTAGAACAAACATAATAGATTATAACTTATCACTTAACAATTTATAAATACTACTTAATAATTAACTTTATATTTATATTTGCATAACATTGAACGATATTACATAATATAAATTTTTCTCTTACTGTCAATGATTTCTATACTTAGATACTGTGCGTTTAGTTAGCAATGTGTATATTCATATATTTATGTGTGCTGTACATAAATATACATATACATAGTCAATGGCGTGTATATAAGTATTAGATCTTCATGACAAAACGTCTTCATTTTATGAGTACCTCCTTATTACATATTAAAATCCAAAAAATGTATTTCCGATTTTAATCATAATCAGCAAGTTTTGGTATCATAAAGTATAACTTATTTAAACAACAGAAACTTACAAATAAAGATACATTTAACTGGTAAATTCTTTTAACTAAAATC